TGATAGGATACAGATCTGATCAGTCCATTCAATTCGAATGAATGGACTTCTATATAAGGATAGACCAATTGGATTTGTCCTCCCATTCTTCCCACATGTTCAAATTCGGTGTCAACAGTCATCAACCCAGTGTATAAACATGGATTCTCAAACTACCAATCAACCTACACAACCTACCAACTCTTCTGGTTCTTCTACCCAGATGCCTGGTATATCTGAACCCATAGTACCCAGTCAATCTGGAAGTCTCAGCCAGGTGGCTGGATCCAGCCACCCCAATGGTCTCTCTTCATCAGGCCAGAAGGAGAACCCTCCAACACCCTCTACAATGGACATGGGATCCGAGGATGAGGAGGAATCTACCTAGTAAGTCCAAACCACCCAGGCCAAATTTATACCAGCTCCTACATTTGAAGTGTTTGCACAAGCACCTACCGCAGCCGGTCCCCTGTCTAAAGTGCAGGAACCTGGGTTGTCCAACTTGGAGTTACAGGAAATAACCAAGGCTGAGTTTGAGTGAAATGCCCTGGCCACTGCTCACGTCCTTCGAACACAGACTCATGCTCCAAATGTTCCGGATGAAGCAATTGAACTCATGGAACAAGCTGCGCTTATATCACTGTGCCAAATTGCAAATTTACGGTGGAGTTTAGAAAATTGAGTAGACATAGAAAATTATAGAGAAGCTGGCAAGGGTCAGAAAAATATGAAAAAATAATGGGAGGGCCCTTTGATGCATTCCAATTGTCTGGCGTATTTTTTCATATTTTTAAAACCACAATGCATATAACACTACACAAAATATAAGGGCCCGTTCGGATTGTTTTCAAATTTTATCTGACCTGAAAACAAAATTTTGATTTGCCCCTATCTCAAGGGGCACATCGAGAGTGTGTCATATTGCATATAGAGATCACCAAACGGAAATCCAAAAGAGGTCAACAGACGTCTGTTGACCTTGTCATGATCAGTTTGGTGTTTGGGAATTGCAATATCCATGTGATATCAAGTTGTATCTACACACTTTCTCGTAGAACAATCTGATAAAATGGTCATTGTTGACCTTCATCCTCCTTTGTCGTTCCTCACAACTACGCATGTTTTGTGATATGATCACAGCATATCCGCTCAATTCAAATCAAGCCCGGTCCTTTCCCTGTTTTGGTACTGTTTGATTCTCATGACCACACCCAAAACAAGAAATCATTTAAATCAAAATCAAACAAACAAGTTCTTTCAATGCAGAAATAGATCAAGTACAAAACTAAATTGAATCCTGAGGAAAGAGAAAA